CTGCGCGGGGCTGCGAGCAGCGGGCAGCTCTGCGCGGGGCTGCGGGCAGCGCTGCGCGGGGCTGTGAGCAGCGGGCAGCTCTGCGCGGGGCTGCGGGCAGCGCTGCGCGGGGCTGTGAGCAGCGGGCAGGGCTGCGGGCAGCTCTGCGCGGGGCTGCGGGCAGCTCTGCGCGGGGCTGTGAGCAGCGGGCAGCTCTGCGCGGGGCTGCGGGCAGCTCTGCACGGGGCTGCGGGCAGCTCTGCACGGGGCTGTGAGCAGCGGGCAGCTCTGTGCGGGGGCTGCGGGCTGTGGGCAGCAGGGCAGCGCTGCGCGGGGCTGGAGCAGCTGCCAGTGCTCCCGCCCTGCCCAAACGTGCTGCAGGACGGCGGGCAGGCGGGAGTCTGCGCTGGCACTGAGGAGCTGACAAGCCCGTGGGTCACCGTTGGCTCCTCTGCAGCCTCTCTGGTTGCCCGAGGCCCTCAGGCTGCTCCCGTGCCAGCCCTGCATGCACTGGAGGCTCCAGCCCCAGGGGGAGGCGAGCGTGGGGAAGGGCAGCTCCGCACCTCGGCTGCGCCCGGGCAGCCACAAGGAGCGGACGCCGAAGCCGCGGCGGCCTCGCCAGCCTCCCGCGTGGCTGCCGCCCCTGCCCGCAGCACTGCACGGCACCCGCTGCCTGCAGGGACGCGCGGTGGCCACCGCAGCCCCTCCAGCCGCCACGTAGGGAGCTCCAGCTCCTCGGGGCACCCGCAAAGTCCCTGTCCCGCTCTGCCGACCCAGCAGCAAGGACAGTAACCTGCAGCAGCAAGCCGGAGCTGAGAACGTTCATGTTGCACGTGCTAAGGTGTAAATCTGCCAAAATCTATCTATCCCTCACCTGTCTGTCCGGGAAATAGTGTTTCTGCCCTCATTCAAGCTTGTGAGATGCTCAGAGGTCAGTGTATCACAGGAAACTGGCTGCCTCCGATTGCCAAGCGTAGCTTTTCTGCACCCTACGTCCCAGCACGGGGGCTCTCCACGCAGTTGAGAGTGGAGAGGTGGTACAGGTGGCCCTGCTGCCCTCACCAGGGGCTGTTAATGCTGCAAACTCATTTGTTGGAGATGGCAACACAGTGTGGTCACAGCAAGCGAGTCCACTGCACGCCTGTTACTGCCTGGCTCCTGCTTTCTCACATCTCTAATGGCTTCTTGTCCAAGTTTCTCTTAATTTGCGGAGCAACCTGGAGAAGCGGCCCAGCCGCGGGGACAGGCACCGCGTGCCCCGTGCCGGACAGCCCTGCCCCACGGGCTGCCATGCTGTTTACGCGCACACAGTTGACCTCGTGGTCGCACGAYGCGTGGTGTGGAGACCCACCTTTTGTGCTCCTCTCACACTGCCCTGGGCAATAGATCCCTTCCTGCTGACCTCACGCCCCGCTACGGAAAACACCCCCTTTCTGCTGGTCTCGTGCCCATCCCGGCCTCGCTGGTGGCAGCCGGTATCACCCGGTTCCTCCCGGTCAGCACTGGGCGCTGTCAGTTACTTGTGGTCATCTGGGTGCCAGATAAGGGAGAGGGGCAGCCGCGCTCGCCGCAGCCACCCGCRCTGCCTATCTGCCAGCGTAGCGGCGGCCTTGGCAGCGCCTGAGCTCGGCGGCTCCGCCGGGCAAACACGCCTGCTTCCCGGCTCCGACCGCCGTGCATTTACAGCAGGGATCTCGCCAACGCAGCAGAGAACAGGAGGACCGAGAACAGGTTCCCAAAGGATGCCGGTGCCCCGGGGACACGCGCGTTATGCAACGGCCGAGGAGGAGGAGGAGGGAAGTTCCCGGCGGCTGCCGGGCGCAGGCAGGCGGCGGCTCCGTGGGTGGAACGGGCGGCCGCGTGCTGGCGCCGGGAAGCAGCAGAGCGCTCGCGCGTTCCAGACGCGGCCCCGGCAGTAGCGCTCCCGCGTGAGCAGCCTTGGCGCGTTGGTGTCCCTTAGGAGACGCTCGGCCAAGCTGCCGTTCGGCGCGCTCGGCCCGCGGGAACACGGTGTGGTGTCAGTTTGTACTGCTGTAGAACCCGGAGACAGAGTTAGCCTGTGGTCCTTCTGCAGCCTATAGGTACTTGGGGCTCCTTCTGCTTTTAAAAATAAACATGTCCTCTATTGCCTGCTGCTGCAGCCAACACACTTTAAATATATGCATTTAAAACCTCTCGAAACTTGGACCTGCCATGGAAATCCAGGCAGATTCTTAATTATAGCAGCAACACGGCCACTGCTAGAGTCCAGGAGCTGAGCACATGGGCCGAAAGATACAGCACCGAGCGCCTCCGGTGCTCCCGTTACAGTCCCCACCTTGGAGAGGTTGTAACCTGGGCCRTGTAAATTCGACTGAGCTGAAACTTGGGACTCCAAAGTGTCAGTCCATGCAGGGAATTTTCCTAGGAGTAACCGGCTCACTCACTGCTGGCTTCACAGACCTTTATGAAAGGTTTTGAGCGGGCTTTAGTGTTTTTTTCTTTTACTGACATCTAGGGTATGAGTTTGGTACTTCTAGCTGTTCTGAAGCTCCATACTGAGCAGCGTATACATTGGGACATAAGTTAAAGCTACACCGCCACGGAGCAGTTGTTAGGGCACGTGTGCCAAACTTACACCTCTGTGTAGACTTACACAAAAATAAAGAGACTTTGAAAAAGAAATGCCATCTAAATCCACCCCAAAAGGGAGTTTTAAGCCTGGAAGGTAGAGAACATGAATGCCCTAGGTACAGCTCAAAAAAAGTCTCTATTTTGTTACGCTGTGATGTGTTGGAAGGGTAACATCTCTCTGCCCAAACTGGCACCATCGTGCAGGAGGGCAGGTGCTCACTGAACCAGCAGCCCAAGGCACATTGGACTTGGGCTTGAAGGAAGGTTTGGACACAAACCTAACGCAAAACTCCAGGTAGGAGGGCGAGCCCCCAGCTGTGAGCAGATTCCCTTGTGGAACTGGGCCCTACCAGTTCCCATGCCCACATCTCCCAGCAGAATCACTTAGGAACAGGCACACGGCGCTGCAATCCGCAGTTCATGAGGACTGTCTCTGGTGGCTTGAGGAAGAGTTTCAGCTCTGTGCCAGGCTCACTGGCTGCAGGTTTGTTGTGTGCGTGTCCCGTTCACAGCAAAGCGCTGTGGAAGTTTCTCCGCTGTATAATGGCAAAACCCACCTGGATCTGGATCTTGGTTGCACGTGGATCAGCAAGATCCACATCTAACACCACYGGTCTCCCCCTCGTGAAGGGTGCACAGGAAGAGCATCCCAAGGGGCAAAACAGCAGCCCCTGACAGCAGTGACAGTCAGACACAATTCATATCCCAAATCCCTGTTACACAGAAAAGTGGGAGAGCTGGGCAGACTCAGACCATGTCGAATATATAGGGCAGCTTCTGATCTTTTAACCAGAGGTTGTTTAGGAGGGGAATCTTTGCAGGCTCATAAAGCAAAGCTCTTCACACATCGATGCAAGATTAACCCAGGAGGCTCTAGCCCTCATCTGTCCCTACGGGGAAGTCCGTAACGGTCTGCTCCAGATCTGGCAGCAAGGGAGAGGAGGAACTGCAAACACTTTGTCTGAACAAAACAAATCYAGCTATAATACAAGTGCCTTTCAAAATGCTTTTGTAGCAAAATAGCAAAAAGTAATTCATTAACCTGAGGCATCAGATGCAAGTTTCAGCAACAAGAACAAAAATATTTCAATGAGCTATTAGCTGTTTTGCTACAYGAGATGAGGAAAGATTTAGTTGCCCTTCTTTTATACTCCTGAAAGCCGGCCCTCCTAGTTCCTCGCGTGCTTGGCTTGAATGACAGCCTGGGACACGAGTGCAATAGAAGAGGATTTTCTTCCTCTAGCCCTGCTTGATATGTCCCCCTACAAGGGCAATCTGCCTGGCCTTGGCTACTGCAAAATGCTTRAGCATATATTTATGCGTTGGTACATATGGGCTGCGGCTACGTGCGTGGAGCGAGCCCGTGCTTAAGTTGTGCTCAAGTGTTGGGGAGCTTAGTGCCTTAGCTCTGCATGCGGCCTGGGAGCCGCTTTTGCTTGGGCTGATTTTTACAGCTTCAACTTCTAGTCCTTTGCATAAATAGCATTTAACCAAAACCCAACAAGTAAAATCATCAGCATCCTCTGTATGAATTTTAGGCTGACTTTTAGCTTTGACTTTTAGCTTTAGAGAAGCAGCAGCACATGTGCTACRTGAAACGTTTTGCAGGAGGCTCCAGATAAAAATGAGAGAATTCATTATGGAGATAGTAGAGATCTTTTCCTAAATTGAAAAATAACATCASTTTTCATGGAGATTTTACTTTGATATATTTATTCCATGCAACTCTTGTATGTGCAAAATCCCAGTTTACAACATTTTAATGCCACTCTCTGCGGCCAGAATCCCGCATTATCCATCGCAGAGCGCCGAGCTGCTCGGGAGGTGCAGCCGGAGCGCTCGGGATGGTTATGCCACCGTTTGTTATTGCCAGCACATATAATTTTTACAGCACAATATGAATCCTGACAGCAGTGAAAGGAATGCCTTCCACCACCAGTATGAATAAGATTTCACTCAATTAAAATAACATGCCAGGATATTGTGTGGCGTTACATAGCGAGCTGCTGGGGATAAGGATGAACGCTGGGGTGGAGGTGGGGAATATTGTTCCACGAGGAACCGTTGCTCAGCGTTTTTAAAAAAGCAAAGGAAATGAAAGACAGAAATTAGAATCACTAACAATGCTTAGTACTACCACGCTGAAATTAATGTATTCACAAGTTAGGCTTTAATTTTCCCCTTGGCGTTTCGCTTCGCGGTATCCGTGTACCTGAGCGAGCCGGAGGAGCCGTGGACGCGCAGAGGGCTCTGCACAGGGAGCTGAGGTGGCAGCGCCCGGGCCGCAGCAGTGGGCGCTGCGGGAGGCCTGGCCATGGGTGCGAGCCCCACGGCACCCTATGGAGCGTGGTGAGGGCCGCAGCATCCCAGGACTGGGGTGGATCTTAAAAGTCGTCCTGCTCAGGGCCAGTAAAAGCAAAAGCGAATGATGTCTCGGGGAGAAGAGTTTTACGTTTGGAGCTGYACTGCACGTTTGGACATGGCTCACGAGTGGGGCTGCAGCAGATATTCACCGCGCCGCTCTGCCTTCCACGTGTTGCTTGGCTGCTTTTCCCGCTCCCCGAGGACTGCGGCCCCCTTGGCCGGGCACCGCGGGGCAACGCGACGGTGCGTCTCCCCTGCACGTCTCCCCTGCACATCTCCCTGCACGGAACCACGGGCCTCGGCAGCGGCTTCGCAGCTTCCGACAAAAGCAAACCCCGCCTTCAAACGCGGAGCCCAAAGCTGAATGAAGCCAGTTTGCAGCACMGGCTTGAGGAGGATTCACCCGGTGYGCACKCTCCATCGCTCCAGCCGTTCCCTCGGCAGGGCCCTTCCTGCCGGCAGAGCCGTGGCCAGAGGCTGCCGGCGCTCCCCGTGCGGGCCGAGTGCGCCCAGCTCCCGCATCGTCGCTGCGCTCGCCCTTTCCTGTATTCCCGTCTCCTTTCATGTCCTGTATTCCCATCTCCTTTCGTTTGCCTTTCTTCTTTTGATGTTTTTCCCTGCTTTCTCATTTCTTTCCCGACGTTATTCCCTGCTTGCCCTGAGGATGCGGGCAGCTCCGCACCGGCTCCCCCCATTCCSGGTCTAGAGGCAGCGATTCCCTCCRGTGCTTCTGTCACCGCTGCCCTGGGTGACAGCCCGACGCRCGGACCTGTCCTCCCATTAGCCCAGCCCTCGCTTTCCTAGTTCACCAGCTGAGTGATTACAGGCAGCCCCTGCTTTCCCAATTAAAAGGGGACACTGTGGTACTAATAATAAAAACAAAAGCCAAAGTAACCAATAGAGTTAATTTGTAAGTGTTCAGATGTGTGTTGAGTTTAATACAAATACTGTCAGCGCGGTGGTGGCCTCATACGAGGGTGTAAGCTGCAGTTTAGGCCTGCGGTGCTCTGTTAAATACTCGATACRCATTGCTTGAATGCCTAGAAACGTGTTCACGTGGCAAAATCTCATTGTTCAGGTGGAGCTTTTACTCCTGATGAAATAAAAAAAACGTCGGAGGCCACTCTGGAAGCTTCTTGCTCGCCAATCTCCGCGAGGACCGGCCACGTTCCTGTTTGAATTGGCCCGGAGAGCAAGAAGGAAACATGGAACCACAAATAGCTCCTGCAGGTGTTACCTTTTCAGCCCCTGAATGCAAAATGACCRGAGAAGCGAGCAGGGAGAAGAATTCCCGTGGGCCTTGGAGGGCTCCGTGCGGCTGCTGCCCCCGGCAGCGCTGTCACTGCAGAGCCTCCGAGTTGCCTTYTCCTGCCATGGAGCGAGGGAGAAAGAGACAGTGGAGTCGGACAGACAAATAGATGGACAGACCAACTTCCCTGTGGGATGGCCTGGGTGGTGATGGCCTTGACCRCGGAGAAGGAGCCTGAATGGCAGGGACTAGCACAGCAAAGGTAGCTATTAAAGCCGAGAGCTTTTCATTGCTGAAAATTTCAAATAACTGTCATGAACTGTATTTGAGACAGGGGTTTGGCTTTTTTTTTTTCCCCTGTTACCTCCAGGTTTGATGTCTGGAAAAGGTTAACTGCTAGAACAGAAAAGGAGTGCGTAGCAGGATGGAAGCCCTTCTTTACCAGAACCCCGACCATATTGCACTGTCACTCACCTTCCAGACACCCCATACGACCGTTCCATCTATTGAATCAAGGGACTGTTTGATCATATCTGCATCTGTGATCTGACTGTCAACCTGCTTAGGCTGCATATTAAATCATCTATAGTAGCTGCATCAAGTTGGGATGATCTGTTAATTCTAAATTTATTAACCCTTGGAGTGCAGTCATCGTGTTTAATCTAGTGTAGCCAGCATTTGCAAGACTAAATCCTTCCTTAAGAGCAGGCTGTGCTGGAGGCTGAAGAACCAGGAACGCGTAGGAGGTGTCAAGGGGCAGGACCTCTAGCAACGTTCCCACAGGGACCACTGCAAAGAAAAAGGCCTCAAAGACGGCTCAGTGCTGCGYACCCGTGAAGGAAGACCTAAACCTGAAGGTCCCAAAGCAGCCCGAGCCAGCACACAGCACCACGATATGGAGCACGAGTTACCAACTCCTCCTTCCCAACAGTTCCCAACTCCCAGGCCAAGGCAAAGGAGTGGCACAAGTGAAGGCAGCTGCATACACACCTAAAGACACCCCCCAGCACACACCTACACGTATAATAATTTCATACACATGCGTACATAAATGCACCGATGCTCCGCTCGCACCACGTCTCCCCTGCCCCTCTCCCGACGGCATCAGCCTATTCCCGGCTCTGCTTCCAGCGGCAAGCGGCTCGGCCCACCGCCTCTTTCGGCGGTCAYGTGCCCAGCCTCCCTCTCGTGCAGCCTAATAACAATTTTAGCATTCAGATGAAGCGATTTCATCCTGCGCCTGCCTTTTCTATTAGATTTGATGCTGCCGAGCCCCAGTGGGTGCCTCCGAGGCAGAGATCTATGTGCGAGGCCGCGAGCGCTTCAATAGCAGCCCGGGCTAACCTTGACCTTTCCCGAGACCCCGCTCCATCTGGTGCCAGCCTGTCCCCCCCTGCGCTCCCCCGAGCCGGGCGGGAGCCGCCGGCTCCTCCCCGCGGCTCCGAGCGCCTCGGGATGCCACAACCACRGAGCCTGCGGTGCCGCCACGGATCTGCTGGGGTTACGGAACGGGTCGTGCAGCAGCTTAAGTGCAGAGCAACGTACAGCCCCCCCGATCACCCCACACACGTATAAATATATAATATATAATATATACATATATATATATATAGGGGTGTGTGCTGCTACTTCCACAGGGTTTCACCACTCTGCTGCAGAAACAGGGTGAGTTGCTAGTTGACAGCACACGTGGACACCAAAGATACCCAATGCCGTGGAAAAAAAAAAGCATTTGAAAAGATATTTCGTTCTGTTTTGAGGAGTTTGTTTTGCTTCATCTCCACGGGTAGTRGAAAATAATAGGAAGAAACTGTGAATTACATGGAAAGACGATATATACCCCATTTGTCAGCTGAATATTGCACTTTCTGCAGTGTTGCGGAGATGTGGAGCGATTCCCAAACTTTCGGYGCTAATCGGTGCCTGGTGGAGTCCGGCATTTGTTTGGAGGACTTGCCAGCACATGCCAGCTAAAAATGAGYGTCAATTAATAATAATAAAAAGAAAGAAAAAAAAAATAAGAAAACCTTTTCCTTATTTCTGCGCCCGGATAATTTAACAGGTTTTGCGAAAGCCGCTGATGTGATRGCGAGATGTTCCCCACCTAGGCAGAACTAGCAGTTTTCCCTGGAAAGCACCAGGGCACAAACACAACTGCCGGAGCTGCCTCGGTTTTCCCACAGGCAGCTGCACTTCTTAATACACACTTAAAAATACAAGGAAAATCCGGTATTTTATCCTACCGAGAAAAAAGCGTGTGGAAATGATCCTAAACGCAGACAGTCCAAGTATGCTGTGTTATTTGTAGCCTGCAAAATTACAAATAATTTGAAACCCGAAGTATGAGAGTTTTTAGCCAGTGCCGCTTGAGAGGTGCCGAACAAACGTCCACCCCCTAAAACAACGGGGCTCGGAAACTCTTTTCTTTTCAGAGCTACCTGAGCCATCGAGTAACCTCTGCAGAAGTGCCCAAGTGCRGCTTGTTGTTTAAAAGCATATTGTACTGATTAACAAAATGTGAAATGGCTTAAAAACCCATTTGAGCTACGAATTGCCATCTGCTCGAGGAGGGGGGAAACAGAAAGTAACTGAATATATTTTCTCACCTTTTTTTATAGTAACATAAACAACGCTGCAGACTGTTAGGAATTTTTAGCTGCACCAAATACATGTGTACAGTTCATCAAGCCTCAGGTCAGGACTTTGTCCACACTTCTAGACTCTGTTTCTCATAATTACCCACAAATGTCTCTCAGTCTGGTTTTTCCCTGTTACATAAGGTGCCCTGGACAATTTCATGGATTCAGGGTTTGATGCTGCCTCTCATACGACCTCCTGGAAACTCTCCTAGCAGAGGGGCAGCCAAAGCACCGCGTGGGCACGAAGACACCGGCATGCGCAGCAGCTCGTCCTGCCTCTCCGGCAGGAGCAGGGCAGGGTTTTCAGGATGGGGACACTGGGACAAAGCTCCCGTGTGGGCTGGGCACCCCCAGGCGATGCCGTGAGCTCGCGRTGCCTCCCCAGCGTCTCACACCAGGGCGTTAGGATTCAGGTGGCCTGCAGCTGGCACAAACAAGCTGCGTTAGTGCAACTGGGAACGCTGCGGCCTCACGGAGCACGTCACGTCACGCCACACGTGGAAGAGCGCTGCGGCGGCACGAGCAGWAAGGAGCTGCGGGGTTTTTCAGAGGAAAGCCTGCCCTGTTTCAAAGGGCACACATAGCACACATGTCCAGGGGAGGGAAGCCTGGACCCTCAGGCGACACGAGGCCCCACGGAGCAGCGTGAGGTGAATGCGCACGTGGAGCACGCGGCTACACAGACTCACGTACATCTCAGACCTTGGGCTTTGCTCTYGGGTTTATTTTGGCAGCAAAGGGAAAGATGCAGGGCTGGATGTTTCCTGGTCCTTCCCTAACACCGAAGCTGCTGCAGCAGAGCACCCTCGGCAGCCTCTGTCACCATTCCCTCCCAGGGCCCACAGTTYAAGAGGCTTATTTAGGGCCATTAAAATGACTCCAGGGTGACCTGCAGCAGGGGCAGGCAGTTTTACTCAGTAGCACAAGTGGGCAATCACCCATCTTTTCTCTATTTCAACAAGGAAAAGGCACTACTAGAGCTTTGCCGTTTCCAGGGGCTCGCGTGGGTGTCCCTGTGTCACGGAAAGGGCAGCGCTTGTCAAAGAGGCTCTCGTTCAGGTCACGGATCCACAGCAGCAAAGCAGCAACTGCAGGGAGGCTTTTAGGAAAAGAGCCCTGGAGAGCCTACGGCATCCAAGCTTTCTTGAGCCTGTCCTGAGATTGCTTCTCTAGGATAGCAGAAAACAGGCACAGACTCTGGGATGGAAAACGCACAGGGAAGTGCAAAGCAGCCTCCTCTGCAGGCAGGGCACCCACCAAGGTGAGGTGTGGATGTGGCAACAAGGGAGCTGCAGGTGCTTTAAGCAGCTACCGAGAGCCCGAGGCCGAGCAGCCCCTGTGCAAGCGACGGGGCAAGGCCCAAATCCCGTGTCAGCGGCTCCCGCCAGCGCTGCAGGCGGCCCCGAGCAGGGCAGCTCCTCCGCGGAGGCTGGAGTGCCCTCTCGGTGCCCGGGGAGGCCGGCAGAGCCGGAGGGCTGAACCTGCCCCTGCCTGTGCCATACCTGCCCTGCAGATAGCGCGAGGACTTTGCTCCTCGGGACTGTCCAGCTGGTGCCATTCCTTAGCAATAAAAGCTCGCCCACAAGGCATTTTAAAGCAAACACGCGGTGTAATGAATACCTTAATACTTGTGTAGCTAGACAGGAAAGCCACAAACAGCAATCGCTCTAAATCCACCCACAGAGGGGAAAGCTCTGGAGTTCGTAGCCAGCTCCTTCTTAGCAGCAGGGCCAGGACTCCCGCAGGGACCCTGGGTGCATCTCCCAGGGTGACTTCTTGTGTCACCCCTGAGACTCCCTCCTCTGACTGCCCCACAGCCACCCCTGCACCCCCGCTCACCRCTCCAGCGTCCCGGCACCTTTGAACCGCGTGACAAGGTGACCCGGCCACCAGCGAGGTCCCCGAGAAAGCAAACTTGGCTGCCTAGCTGCACTCACGCCCACAGATTACACAGCTGCACACGCAGGGCCGCGGGGAGCTTGGGCGCGCGGCCCCGCTCGCCCAGGTGCRGCACCACGGGGACCTGCTCCCCATCGTCTCCCTCCGGGTTTCCCAAGAGAGAAGGGGTAAAACTCAACACCATATCGATTTCCTACACATCTTTGCACAAATTCACCCCTTGCCTTGGCCCAGCCTTASAAAACAGGCCCGCTGAAACAGCCTCGAGAGGCAAACGCTATCTCTGCTCCATCAGCACACATCGTGCACAAGAGCCATAGCTGATTTCGTAAGATACCTGGAAAAAAAAATGCCTGTATCATCTGCCATCAGAACTTGTTTACCAGGGTGTTATTTAAACAGAGAAACAAAGGGACARATCGGAAAACCTGACAAAATTATCCCTCTGTGATCCWTGTTCCCTGTGGCYGGGTGGTTTTACCGCAAGGGCGCTSAAGGCAGTGCCAGGTGGGAGGCTCCGTGCACACGGGCATCCCAAACCCTGRACTTCTCCCCACGGATTTCACTGATCAAAAGCAGCTCCCCATTTTAGTTTTGAACACACATATTTATGATGTGTATGTAAAGTTATTACTGAAGCCCAGTAATCCAGGCACTGCATCAAAGGAAGGCTTACAGGCCCTGCGAGGGAAAGGGCACGGCCTGGGGTCTGTGATGGTGGGTGTTTCTTTTTAATCAGTATAGTATATTTAATTATTTCACACTAGTTTTTATTGTTTTACCATTAATAATAATACCCTGCACCTAAAATGAAAACAGCAATCTATAGTCCAAAGCACATGGGTAAAAATTAGGACTCATCTTTTTCTTTTTTTTTTAATTAAGTGCATCTTCCACTAAACATACAGATCCTTTTTCCCCCCATGAAAGCATGTGCTATTTACTGCATGTGACTATATCAACAAGCTAAATATTTACCGAAAGCTCAAAGCATTCACTGGCCTCATTTTCCATAGCTGTTGCATTCAGATTAATAAACCAGTTTCTTCCTTAAAATGAAGACAAAATTCAGAAATGTGTAACATGCAGTGAAAAAGAAGCATGAAAGTGACTAAGAAACACCAGCACGCTGCATATTTATTTTGTCCTGTCAATTATTTTTAAAGAATTCCCTGCTTATG